ATTGCGAGGAAACCTGGTCCCTAGGCAGCTCGGTGTACCGAGCGCGGAATGGTTGCCGCAGCATGCTTTGCACACAGCACAGGCTTCAACGACATGGTGCCAGCCCCCAAACACATCCCTTTTTCACTTACACTACTGCAATCCGAAGCTTTCCCGGCGAAGTTACAACAGTATGCCCCTTTGTAGTTGCAGGATAAGGGAGAACGCTAGCCCCTCGGAGTTGCTTCTACAAAGAGCCATCTGCTAAACTGAGACAGCCTTGTGCAAGCGGCTGCCACTTGCCGCAGCAGCTACGGATCTCGGCAGCCAGTCCTGATAGAAAGCATTCGTAAGAGTTAGAGGTAGAGTTAGAGTTGAAGTTCGAGTTCGAGTTTCAGCTCGAGAGGGTGAAAGAGCGAGAGCGCGAGAGCCAGAGTCAGGCTGGGACACAAGCGCAAGAGCGAGAACGACAACGTAACCGTAACCTGATTTGATCCCCTTGCTTTACAACGGCCGCATGTTGAAGGCTCCTTTCAAAATCCGACCAGAATGTTGCTTTCCCAGCAGCCCCTCCCACCCTTTCGCCCTCGCTGTCCCGGCGCTTTGGTCGGATTTTGGCGCCCGCGATGTCGGGCCTGAAGCTTTGTCAGCGCCCACCTGAGAATGTAATTTCACTAGGTTGCCGAAGCTACAACATGACCCAACTTATTGAAGAAGCACTTTAAGAGCACCCCTTTCTCGGAAGCCGAGGCCCCGAGCCGCAACCGGTGCAGAGTGCGGACCTGGCGTGCTTGAGAAACCGGCGCCAAAAGTTTGTTTATGGTCCCGTAAAGTTTACCTCATGACAAATTCAAAAAGCTTCAGTCAAGCAGTGCCAGAGTTCATCCCGGACAAACTTTTCACGTGCATTGGGTATCACTGCACTAGCCCGCAATCTTAAGTGCTACAGCCATAACCACTAGGTGGCAAGCGTGAGTCTGAGAGGGCCCCATCAGCTTCCCATCTCTCTCCAAAACCTGTGCCTTCGCGTCGGCTGCGGCAAGGTTGGCACGCGCTGCGAGCGGTGACTCCTGCACATGTTGGTAGCTGGAGTATGCTGGAGTCCAGGAACTCTGGATAGAGGTGCCTGGGGATGGGTTCTGGAGTCCGATTCTGGAAGTGAGAGTAAGGTTCCGAAACATCAGAGCAGGAGTCTTCGAGGAATGTGAAGGTTTCATTGTCTTGGGACAACCTATCTCCTTGTCAAAGCCCCGTGCCAGAAGTATACGTCTTGTCATTCTGAACCCCACTGCTGCGAAGTGTGTCTAAGGCCACATTCTCAGGCGACACCTCCATTGTTCTCAGACGCAAAAAACCTCAGACAAGTCAGCTGCCCTAAGGTGTGGAGCTGGGACCTTGCTAGTCTGAATCAAAAGCTCCAAAGTTCGTACAGAAATCACAAGCCCCCCATTTTGAACATACCAAAGCCCCATCTTGCCAAACACTTTCCAGACCCCAGCAACCGCCTCGGCTCGGTGCTGCAGTGCTTTCGGGGCCAGTGCCTTTCAGTGTAGTGTGTGACAAGCAGCATTTAGGTGGAACACTTTTCATACTTAATCTGCACGACTCAAGCCCCTAACGAAAGCGGCATATTGTCATAACTGGTTCTCATGCAGACAGCGTGTGCCTACATCCAAAAAAGGGCTTTAAAATGCCCAAACGTAGTGTGAAAAAAGCAAGCACCGGTGCTGCGAGAGAGAGAGAGAGACAGAGTTGCTTTTGCAGGCGCTCTTTTGCCCACAAACCTTTGTTGCAAAAAGTGGCCTTGCTCAGAGGGCTCAGCAAGAAGCGCATAAGCAAAACAAATATTCATCTTTTGACAGTCGGGCAATGCAGAGAAGGGGAGGACCGGCTACTCCTACCAACGACTAGACCAATTACACCTCAACATACCTAAATGCCATGGTACCCATCCTGGCCGCATCGGGCAACCCTGAATCTAACCCCGAAGCCCGAAGCCCGCTGGAGAGGCCTCCAAACCTTCGGGCAGCTCACGGGGTGGCGGCGCATCCGATCCCAGGCGGCTCAGCGGAGGCTCTGGCGGCTTCGTGCAAGCTTTAAAACTGGGGCTTCCAGGCTCGTGTTGGTAAACTGTCAGCGGAATGCCAGAAAGACTCTCAAGTCATTTTGGTATTGTTAATGAATTATTTATCTTGGCACATAGTGATTGAAAACCATCCAAAACAGCCAGTAATGGTAGAGTGAAATTTTAATACACTAAACATTACCAATTCTATTTGCATACACATTTGGTTTTTAATCATTGACGCAGCCAGCAAACTAGACGAAGCAACACTCGCAACAAACACAGGCTGACCGTGAGATCCCTGGCAGCCTAGGAGGATGCTGCACACTGGCCCTTTGCCAGCCGTGGGTCCTGAGAGGGTGAGAGGGGCGCACCAAGGGTGGGTTCAGGGTTGGCGGTGGTGAATCGGGGATCAGGGTATCAGGGTGGTGAGATGTAGAGCCTTGGATAGGCCGTGGTCTGTAGAATCACTGTAGAATGCAGGGAGTGTTGGGTCTTTTTTGGTTTTTTTGGGCGGCTCAGTGCGCCGAGCTTGGTGCCACAAGCGAGTGGAAGGCGTGCGTGAGGATGCTCGAGGTATAGCGTGGCGCAGCCAATTTCAGACATGAATTGCTCCAACTAGGTATGCTCCCAGACTTGGGTACCCGTAGAAAGAACGGCCCCACATTATGCAAAGCAAACACAATACAGAGTAAATTCTGCAAAAAAACAATATATATATATATATATATAGACATAAACAAGACTTGCTGAAGGTGGGTTAGATTAGCGCACGCCTCAGTTGTGCAGGATGTGCTGCGAGTGCAGGATAAGGCACCGCCTGAGCTGGGTTCCGTTTTGCGAACGTCCTCAAGCGATTGGGAGGTGTGAAGGGTGTCCTGGCACCCACTGCTCGTGCTCTGCCGCTTCTTGGACCGAGTCGACCTGTGCAGCACGTTGGCACTACTGGTTGGAATGTTAGGGGCCTACGGTGAATCTAGACTGAGGGGATTGAAACCAGCTGGACTGGCTTTTCGAAGTAGCCTCTCAGAACGATTCCTCTGAGTTTTTCCGATCATACCCTGTGACATCCTTCACCTTCGGAGACCCGACCAGCCGTGCCACACTCGGAAGCCTTTGCAATCTGGGTGCGGTGAATTTCGTGAGTCCACCGGTCCGCCGGGTCTCCCACACACACACAATGTTTACACACAATGTTTGACCACACAATGCTTGAAGTCAATGAGCCCACTCCAAGCCAAAAAGAAAACTCGAAACCCCAAACCACCAAACCTCAACACTCTTCTTGTGTTTCCGGAGCCTTTGGCCCTGAAGACACCTCGCAAGGCGATGCTTCAGCGGCAAGCACCTGCGAAAAACATCCCTGGCCGCATTGTTCAAGGACTGTACGGCCCACAATGGTTGTTGCAAAAATCAAGGGCGGTTTGAAGGTTTTTTGGGGGGTGTAAAGCCTTTGTCAGGGAATGTTAATGGATCGGGGTCTCAAGGCTTCCTGCAGTCAAGCCCCAAACAATTCAAACCCTAGGCCGCCGTAAGCAGTCAAACGCTTTTGACCCAAAATTCTTGCCACCCCCAACAGAAGGCTTGGCCAAACACGCAGATGATAAAAATCTCCACCCCTCTCCCTCATCCCTCCAAATCGGAACATTGCAACATCTGAGGAGCCTCCACCAAGGCAATGCTGTAAGTCTTCCCATCACTCCGTCTGCGGCAAGATCCGGTTAAAGGGTCGCAAAGGCTGAGGGTTGCAAAGTGTTTGCCGATGGCTCTTGTTACCTGGTTGTACAGAGGGTTTGGTTTGCCCCGTGGTTCGCGCGAGGCCGGGGATTAAGGGAGTGGCCTTTTGTGCTTCTTGTTGTTGCTGCTGACGCCTGCAACTGCTCTGTGAGTGATTTTTGTAGAAGCCGTGGCTTTGTCGCTGGTGGTGCAGTTGGCGTTGGTGCTGGGTGTTGCTGCTGGCGTTTGTGAGGCTTTTGTTGTTGCTGCTGCTGTTGTTGCTGCTGCTGTTGTTGCTGCTGCTGTTGTTGCTGCTGCTGTTGTTGCTGCTGCTGTTGCTGTTGTGGTTGTAGCCGCCACAGGCAGAAGGCAGTCGATGGTTGTGAACCGGGCCAAGGCTAAAAAGCCAGAGCTTTGCTACGGGCCTCCACCAAGCGTAAAGGTTGTAGCCACAGATGTCTTGACCCGAAGCCCTTGCCAACACGAGCCGGACCATGTCGAGCATCTGCTAGCTGCTGGGTCCCGACCCGGGGCTGAAAGCAGTTCGCGGTGCAAAGCCTAAGCGGCTGTATGTAGTCCTGTCATGCATCAGGATGCTTGCAGCCTGGGGTGGCCAGTACGCACCTGGGCTGTGATCACCTAAACCTGCCTAAAGCCCATTAGGAGGCCCATGGAGGCCTCCCGGAAGGCGACCGAAGCCACTCGGCAGCTGCTGCAGCCACACGCTGGCGCTTGGGCTCGTGGCAGTAGCCTCTTTCCAAGCGCGCACTGTGGACGTTTTGACAGGGCTCAGAGGAGCGAGCAATTTCTGAAAGGTGCACAGGCTCTTCTTGCAAGTCGCTTCTAAACTTTTTTCGATCTTTTGAGAGATTCTGATAGAAAGGAATCGTGTATGGCTGCGGCAGTGCAGTTTGGGATTGGATGAGTTGTATTGCCACGGGGGCATCCAAAGCCATGACCTGACCGGGAGACAGGCAGCCAAGTTAAAATCCTTCGGTTTAAAAAAAGGTTTCAGATTTAACGATGCAGCATCCAAGCACACGGTGCCAGGTCATGCTATTCAAACCCAAGCCCCGAATCCCGTGCCCGAAAGATGCCCTCGCTTGAGGTCATTGTTAGAGCCTTGAGATATGCGTGAAATGCGCTCGAGGCTGCATTACGATCCCTCACAATTTGTGTGAAGTTTTCAAGTTCGAGCAACAAAATACCAAGCCTGCGATCAACTGCTCCACGGCCAGGCTCAGGGCCTGAAGCTAAGCAAGCTAGCCCTCATGAAAAAGCAGGAAATCCGTGCGGCCACCACCGAAAACCCTGAGCGACCTGAAGCGGACTGCAAGCCAACCCAGCCAACCCCGGCAACTCTTCGCCTAAATTTACCCATGCCCATCGCTACACCTTCCAACTTGCCAGTTTAACTTCAGGAAGGTTGGCCTTGCGCATGAGATGATGGGCCACAACAGCAGTGCAGATCGGGTAAAACCGTAAAACCCACATCTTCCACGCCGCTGAAGGGCTACGATCCCCGACCTGCCTCAGCGCTCTGAAGTTCAGGTGCGGAGAGGGGCTGACAGCACCTGCGGCTGAGAGGTATGCTTAGGCAGGAAACCCTTCAGGTGGGCGGCCGAGGTATAAGTTAGGAAGCTCAAGCTTTGGTGGTTTCGCGGTTGGCACGCAAAGGCCTCTGGAGCAAATTAACTGTGGATCATCAAACTACATGACATGCTCGAAGCATCTTAAACCCAAACCTAGAGAACTTTACGAAGTCTCGATTCAAGTTCAATGGTCGCACGTCGTTCCGTTTCAGATTCAGATGCCACACTATCCCTCACACATACACTCTCTCACACACATACACTCTCTCACACACACTCGCTCCCTCGCTCCCTCGCTCCCTCGCTCCCTCGCTCACTCACTCGCCACGCCATCACAAGCTCAGCTTACATTTTCCGCAGTCAGGTCCGTCTGTCGAAGCTCACCTCTCACTCGTGCAGCCGAGCTGACACCGTCATATGCACTTCACCCAACTTACCGTAACCTGCCCAAGCACACTGAGTCATCAAACTCATAGTGCGGTGAGGTATGCAAAGAAGCCTGTAACCATCAAGATGCCACGCATCTGCAGCTTAAGGCTACCAACCTTGCACAGACCAGTCACCGAACGCAGGCTGGCTAGCGCCATAACCGCCCATGGCAGGGCTGCCTTTGCTTCCAGCCGTGGCCCATGCGTTGCCCTTGGCTCCTTTGGCTCCCTTGGCCTGCCAAGATTCCTGGGCAAAGGCGGCGACTGGGTCAAAACCGCCGAGACTCCCCTTGCCACCCTTGCCACCTTTGCCACCCTTGCCACCAGGGGCCGATCCCCAGCTGCCGCTGTCCCAGCCAGCGCCGCTGCCCCAGCCAGCGCCGCTGCCACAGCCAGCGCCGCTGCCCCAGCCGGCGCCGCTGCCGCAGCCGGCGCCGCTGCCCCAGCCTTCGATCAGCTTGGAACACAAAACTCTGCGTCGTTTTGGAACACATTTGAGTTTTGACTCCTGACTGCTTCCGTTTGCTACAAGATCGCTATCTGCAAGGGGCCGTTTGAGAAGCACAAATTTTGAAAAGCCAACCCAGCTGTGATGGCTTCAGGAGAAACCCGGGCAACCGCAACCACGGCAGGACATAATTGACAAGCAAAGACATACCCCCCACCCTCCGACCCCGACCTCGCGAGGCGGACGAACAGAGGGCTAGGCCTTTAGGGTTCGACTTAGATATCAGGGTTCGGGCTTGCAGACCTCAGACGGCTAAACAGTTGTAGGAAACCGACAGCCTAGCCCCCACTGGCACAAACGTGACGAAGCAGGTGATGGTAGGGTGTTCAAGGCATCAAGACACCGAAGCCCCTGTTCCCAGCTGATATCCAAGCCTTTACCGCCGCTGTCCCAGCCATTGCCGCTGTTGGTGTTCCAGCTGCCATCGGAGCCACCGCCATTCCAGCTGCCTCCGCCCCATTGGCCGTCTAGAGCACCCATCATCATTTGCACGACATTCATCATGCCTTTTCCACCCTTCCCGAAGCCCTTGGCCGCGCGCTCGGACTTGGGCGTTGCATAGGTGACTGTGACGGGGCTGTTCAAGTTCTGTGGGACATTGCCACTGACGTTATCCACAATCCACTTCGCCTCATCAACAGTTCCCATGTTCACGAAGGCAGCTGCAGCAGTTTTGCCAGCGCTGACGGGCAGGACCTTGACATCTTTCACGGTGCCATACTGGCCGAAGATCGCTGTGGCCTGCTCATTCGTGCAGCCGATCGGGAGCCCGCTCCTGTCACGCAGACGCAAGTCAATCAGAACTTCTGATGATGAACAGGAGAAGCCCAGGTTCTTGTAAACATGAAGCGGCAAAAGCGGCTAATTTCTCACCACGGCACACAAACAAGGCCTCTGACGGCGGGAGATGTGACATCCCCCCCGCCTTAGGTCACGAACGGCTGAATGCACATCGCCTCCTTGAGCATGGTGAGCGGCAGGAGATCAATACTTGCACGAGCTTGTAATACTTTTAGCTCTGCTCAAATTACTATGCTGCATTACCCGGCACAAGCCCCATTGCGAGCCCGAAGTTTGTAAGATCCTCAGCCCGAGGCTGATAGGGCTGAACGACCACATGGTGTGTTTGTTAGGATGTTAGAGCAGGTAAAGCACAGAATCCCGAATCCTCACCTAGACTGTCAGCTGGGCTTTGAGGTTGAAGCGCCTTTCTTCGGAGTAGCCGCCATGCCAGCAGTTCTCCTGGTGAGGTTCTTGGAAAGCTTCTTTGGCGTCCGGAGGGCACAAGGTATGATGGAAGCCTGTTCGGAACCGTGATTGGCCCCAGCTCGGGGGTAGGGAGGCTGTTGTGGATGCCGGGGTTGCATTGATTCGACTGCCTTCGGCATTTCGCTGTAAGGCCCAAGTCCTACACTGGCAAACCCAACAGCCCTCCCGCCTAGTAACCTCAACCTCCAGGTACCTGAAATGCCCGCCTGGTTCTCGCCGACACTGCAGCAGGCGGCAAAGGTGAACATCTTCCTCTCGATTGTGTTTTTTCTTATTCAGGCTTCGCGCGGTGGACTGAAGACTGAAACCTTGGCGTCCGGGCTTCTGTAAGGTTCCAGAAGTCCACAGCTTTAGACTTTGGGGTTCAGAGCATCAATTAAAGGGATTCGTCCTACAAGACGACAGACGTGCATGCGGACACACCAAACTCCTGACAACGCAATAACCAGCCCAAAAAAACGAGCTAAAAAGCAAGATTTGCAAGTTTGCGTGCACGGCCAACCATGGCCAACCCAAACACCAGTCAACAAGTCCCAAACCCATCCCCCCACAAGCCGTAAACAAACCTTGCCCGAGTCCCTGGGCGCAGGGCTCATCCCAGCAGCTTCCTGGATCGAGGCTTTGGAATCCAAGCGCCCGCAACAATGCCTCAGCGTTTCATGACAGGCGAGGCTCGGTGCGCAAGGATGTTTTGTCCGGCTTGAGCTTTGCGGATCCTATAAAAGGCACAAAATCCTTTCGTTCCTCCATTGAGTTTTCTGATGCAATGACGTCCTCCATATTCCGTCAGATAACTCACGTGACTCACGAGAATGGCTACCGATACCATGCAATACGGATGCGCTCCCGCAAGGTGTGCGAGCTCCTTTTTGCACAATGGTTGCATGGTGGCTACCTTTTCCGCCGGCCCCCCACCTCGCCCGCTGCCCCCCCCCCCCACTTCCTCCCTCCTCCTCCCCCTCCAACTTCTTGCGGGACATAATCAAGTGTAGCATCTATGTTTACCGATGCAACAGCTGATACCCCCAACTTTGTCACATCATTTTCGGCTGGGAAGTGTCCTCATGAGATCGGCCCAGAAGCTTTTCTGTGTAACACTGGCATGGCATCAAGCCACCAAAAGAGAAAAGTGCGCAACAACATTAGCGGAATGAGGATTATTTGGCTGACTGATACAGAGTGGTTAGAATTTATGCAAGAGAATGCAAAAGAGATTACGAAGCATAATTTGAGGAATTCTAAATCAGAGAATACAAGTTGTTCTATGAAAACAAGATTAAAAACCGATATTGATGATTACTACCGATGTGATGAAAAAAACAGCTTCTTGGAGTATGCCCTTGTATAGCGCACATACCCAAAGCGGAGGCTCAACACCTCACCGCTCAGAAGCCTCAAGAAATCTCTTGAGAGTGGCCTCGTGGACGGCGGCGAGCCGTTGAAGCCATACCTTCACATAAGGAATTGCGTTCCAACCCTTCACTGAGTGCAGTAAGGAAGAACGTCTCCTGACGCAGGGTAGAATACCCATCAGCTCAACTCCTTCCACCCCTGCAGCTTGAAAAGTCGCTCTCTTGAGCACCCATCCAAAAAAAACTCTGGCCGCGGTCTGCTTGGGGTTCAGGACTTCCTCAAATCCTCTAAAGCCCGTCTTACTATGGGTTACTTGCCCAGGAGCCCTACAACCCTGAGAAATTCCTGGAAATATCTTACTCCCATCAAAGGACACAACATTGGACGATCAGAAGCAGCAATGGCTAGAATAGAGAGAGTGGGGGCGAGAAACGATGTCCGGGCATCCCCCTTCGTGACGTTCATCCTGCTCTCCTGCTCTCCTGAGATTAGATGAAAAGGAGGCCGAGAGCGGAGCGCACGCCTGCCTTCAATTCCTGGTCGAGTCCGCTTCTCTCCATTCTTCGGGCATTCTTCTCGACGGAGAGGGAGAGTGGCAAGGGGGAAGATCCCTAAAGATCCCCTCATGCACTAACTTCCCTTTCCCTCTGCTCACTTTGGAGAGACAAGCAAGTGTTCTCCTTTGATCCGCTTTTTCTAAGAATAAGTGGCCAGAAGGATAGAGCACACCCACTTGAACTTGATGAGCAACGGCGGATGAAAGTAGTAACGCAAGTAGGGGCGGCGGGAGAAAGAGCTGATCAGGAACAACTTGATGCGTTCTTGTCACTTCCAAACTTCGTTTCTAAAGAAGACAAGACGACAAAGCAAATACAACAAAAGGCATACAGAAAGTGGGAGGGCGAGAGGCAGAGAAAGAGAGAGAGAGAGACGGAGAGAAAGAAATTAAGAAAGAGAAAAAGTGAGAAGCTTGCACAAAGAACCAGGCCGTGGAGCCCTAAACCCCTGGCAAACCCTCCGAGCCTCCCTCTTCTCACGCGCCAGGTCACCTTCCAGGAGCGCCCTCGGAAGGTTTAGGAAGACATCTGAAACCGTTTTGGTACAGCTTGGGGGTTGGGGAACGGTCTAATTTAGGACCACTCCGTCCTGTGAACACAACCCCGCCTGAAGGTTGTCTCGGGTTCCACCTTCTATTTTCCATTCGCATGTTTTGGTGCGCATCTAGAAGGCTTGCATCGAAACTGTGTACACAAAACAGCTCTTGCCTATGCCATGGCTGCCGAGAGCTAGTTCCCTAAACGCAGGAGGCTCTTCCGGCCTATTTTCCGTTCTGCTACGGCCTTCGCAAGCCGACGAAGCCGTACGCCCGCAAATCCAAAAAAGAAACATCCCGCAAGCGAAGTCCAACCTAAAGTCTTGAAAGCCCTGCAGCCGCTGTAGCCCCTTGGTGATCCCACTGAAGCCCCAGATGATAAACCTCCCGTTCAGGCCATGACACTGCACAGCAGCCTCGCGTGCTGCAGCAGTCGGTGGAGGGGACACCTGCGGCGTCTCTCCGCAACTTGGCAAAGCCCATCAAAGCCAGCCATCCCCAAACCGCCTCCCCTGCAGACAGTGATGAGTAGGGTGCCGCCAGAAGCCGTGCTGCAGCCCGGAGCCCGCAAATGGCCCGGAGAGGCACCAACCCTGGATCCAGCGCTGAGGGCCAACAAGGGTTTTCCAAACTGGGGTGAGTGAGGGCAAACATGCCTCAAACATGGTTCGGGGTGCGAGTTTACCTGAAGCGGTGGGAGGCCTACAATTTCAAGAAACGATTTTGGCACCGTAAATGTAAACACCCGAGTCCTCTGAGGTTGATGTACAAGTACAAAGCCGGCATCCTAAAACTCGAAACAACCGGAATGCCTTCAACGAGCTTGCAAGCCCTACCGAGTCTTGCCGGCAAAATTGACCACCAGCAACTTAAGCTAAGATATTCAGTCTGCTTCAAAATGCTTCAAAGCTCCTTGCTCCTGAGTCTGAAGATGGGAATCAAAAAAAGCCGTATCAAAAACGCGGACGAGAATGAAATAGGCCCAGGAGTCCGGGGCAATGCGGAGCCACGTCTGAAATGCCGTGAAACTCCCCAAGCCTCAGCCCGAAATGCCCAAAACCCGAACCCAAGCCATAGCCTCAACTCGCACTTAAATCGAAGTACCACCTTCCTACAGCCGCGAAACGAACCACCATCTCTTCCAACAGCGCCCAGCAAGCCAGCTTCTTCCGATCAGTGGATCGCTAGACAATCTGATGCTATTCATAGCTTAGCTTTGCATCTGACACTGACTCACTGTGCACTGCTTGAAAAGGTCAATGTATTTATGACGAGCACGATGTGTCTCCCTACTGGTCGATTCCAAAGCTCTTCTTCAGCCTCGCAGCCCTGCAGAGGCCACTCCGAACTCTGAAGACTCCTGGAAGACATGACTTTAGAGCCTTGCACCACAGCATCCTCTGCTGCAAGCAAGGCCGAGAGGTTCTGCACGAGGCCTGCCTGCTTCAAAGATCTTGCAGCGCGTGTCGGAAGATTTGGGGCGTGGTGCCTGGAGTACGAGTTGAAGGGGAAAGCTTCAAAAGAGACAAGCTCCGTGATTCCGAATGTCAGCATGTCTTAACTTGGAGCACCATACTACTCTATGAGTCTGGGATCTACACGATCTCGGGGCCTACGCGGGGGTTCTGGATGCGTTTGCATCGCAGATGAGGCTTTTCAGAACCTCAAATATCGCCGGTAAAACTTGCAAAACAACCCCAAAAAACATAATCTGTAAAAACTCAAGACCTTGGACAAATATCGACAGACTGCAGTGTCTGAAACTGAGGCACTGCTAACCCGTTAACGCACCCACACATAAAGACCTTGCACAACATGAGTCCACTACAGTAGGCTCTGCTGTTCTGGGATACCAAAACCCGCCCGTGCCGCACCGGCACCGAGTGAATCTCCAGATGCGGCTCAGACAGCAAGGCCTGGCAAGCGTCCGGCAATGTCGGCAATGTCGTGGAAGGTCGGGGGAGAAGGCTCAGAGCGAGGGTTCAGGGACACAGAGGCCCAAAGCGGCTGTCACGAGGATGTAAGGCGTTTTGTAACACGCCCGACTGCCCGCACATCCGCACGCCCGTACGCAATCAAGCACGCAAGCAAGCAAGCTCCCAGCACAGCTGGCTGCACATGCAGCTAAGCTGTCTGCGATCCACATGTCACATCCCCTTTCGCAATGGCCCGGGCCTCTGGGCTTCTTCGACAACAAGCAACTGCTAGGCACACAAGAACAAGTGAGGCGCAGACGCATGTGAGCGTTCGTCGCATGCACAGTAGCAATGGCAGCGGTACAAAGTCGGGGAGAGAAGGGGAAGCCTACATAATGGTTCTTGTCCAATGGGAGACGTTACATCGCCGTGCTGTTGCGTTTAGGCATCCAGCCTCAACCCTGAACCAAGAAAACCTGAAGACATCTCATGAGCTGCGCTTAGGACCTAGGACATTCGGCCTGCCGCGTCGAACTCAAGACTAGCTTCGCCCTCGAGCGACAAACCCCTGCACCCAAAATGCCAAGGAATGTCACAATCAAAAACCCTCATATCCTCAGCCTCCGAGAACTGTCAGGATCGAGATTTATTTGTGGGACCTGGCCGCACCTCGAGCGTGTGCCCATGGTCACTGAAGCGAGCCTGCCATGAAAAAAAGAAAAGCAGCCAACGGAAGGCGTTTCAGTGAATATACATGGCCGCGCTGCGACTACCCATGCCTGAGCCCTTCCACCACTACACAACGCCGATGTTTAGAAGCATCAAAACATGTCTAAACCTTCGCCGCTCTAACCCGAGAGTTCACCTGGAACTCGACAGTGGCACAGCGCAGCTGGAGGGTTCCATCCGAAAGCGCCGAGTCCTTGGTGACTTGGTCGAAATGAACATCAACAACAAACCTCAGACTGTTTGGGGGAAATTAGCGGAAATGAATGGAGTTGACGTTCCTGGGGCCGAACAGCGAAACCTCACCGAATTCTATGCTTCGGTGATTAGCAGCGGGCCTAGTGGAAGAGTCTGAAACTTTGGATGCGTCCTTCCTGGACCCTTCCTTGCTCTCTTTGAGCCCCTCAAGCTGCTCTTCAGTATTGCTCTTATCTTCCTTCTCAGTACGACTCTTTTCTGGCCTAGCTTTCCTTGTACCCCTTTCCTTCCCTCACTCCTTCCTAACATGTCCCTTGACCGCTTGTCCAAGGCTCTGCAGTGATCCGCTGAAGCTCCAGCAAGGCATCGCGGAGCAAGTCAGATGCTTCGCTTCCTGTCCGGCAATGCAGCTTGGGAGAGATTGCAGGTCGAGGACGGTGCCGCGCTGTCTCGGGGCCCACACCGGGCATTGCTCCAGAGACGGCAAGCCGCCGAAGGGGTGACGTTGCGCCAAGAGGTTCCAAAGAGGCGCCTTCGGAAACTTTTGAGGTGTCCGTTACTTGCGTTGTCGCCCCTGTCCGGCGCAGCACGGCCAGTAAAGCTTGGGATTGTGGCTTGGAGCTTAAGGGTATGTTGCGACTTTTCCGGCCAAAGATATGTGTTGATGGCGGTCTACTGGGGTGTTGCTGTGACATACCGGTGTCAAGCCCATGTCCTCATCGCAGAGTGCAAGATCCCTCTAAACTGTGGACGCCTGCACACCCTGACAGCGACGCGTAGCACATGCGAAGATGGATGTCATTGATGTCTTTCTAACCATCTAAAAAATCGACATGAAAGGATGAACATGATGAACTCTGCTTGGGGACTGAACGCCAATTCAACGCCCACCTACGGGAGCAGCTGCATGCAGCAGCACCGCTGCAAGGCTTGGGGGCAAAGCCGACTCTGTGATGGCGGAGCCTGAAGCTTGGGGGAAGCTTAGGGGAAGCTTGGGGGAAGCTTGGGGGAAGCTCTGGGTTCCTGAGCTCAGGATTGCCAGATACGAGCCAGAGTAGGAGACTGAAATGATTCTTGCAATGATTCTTGCAATCACAACACAAGAGTCTGACCTAGATGCTCAAACCTGCAGCGTCAAACCGCAAACCCCAGGCCCCAAATGCAGGACCGAAAACATCCGACCTGTGCGACCTCAAGCCTTAGAGTTGAAACCTCAACCCCTCAGCTCCAAAATGCTCTCAGCACTCTCAATTCCTCACCCAGGCCTTGGAACGCAAACGCGCGGCCACCGCTCTCCTCCACAGTCGGACGGCGCAAGAGCACCTTTCCGTATGATTGTGGTACTAGCGGGTTGTGCTTTCGCGTGGTTTCAGGGTTGGGAACGTTAAAGACATGTTCGGGGGCAGGTAAGTAAAGATGCATCTTGGTTCAGGCTTGGACGCCTGTCATGCTGTTTCGTGCTGTTTTGGAACTGAAGATTCTAAAAAGGGCTGAGGGGCTGTGTAGAGTTGCGCCTTGGAGCTTCAGTTTAAGCCCAGAAGTGTAGACCCCCCTTTTTCGCGCTACACCGAACAAATGACATAATTTCAGCCTTCAGCGCCTACCTTTCAAAAAGGAGACCTATAAGACTGGCTGCAGGCTTGTTGTATGTGTCATGCAACGAATTCTCTGGCTTGCAAAAGAACCCTTTTACATTCGCAAGACCACTCTTTGACTTGCAACGGCCACTCTGCTTTCGTGGCAGCTAACCGCGGGATCCACGGGATAAACTCTCTTTGCCGTCGTAAAAAACTTCGAGACAATGAATGCCCTTCTAGGGTGGAACCTTTTGCTCCAAGGGGGAACTTCCGGTTTCTCAAGGTATAGGTTGCTGATTCTTCTCCCGAGTTTCGCTGTTTTGAAGTGACCCCCCCCCCCCCCCTGTTTGTCGAATGCAAGCCCGCTGTTCTGGAGGCAACACGGCCGCTTGTTCTACGCGAAAACGGATTGTGGACAATGCCAGAATCCGACCCTCGCAGGCTCCGTTGTGTGGGCGGACGTTCATCCTCTTACACACACGGTCGGCTTCAGCTGCCCGAGGATGAGGAATCCACAAGTCTAGAAAAGCTGGTGGCGAACGTCAAGCGCTTATGAACACGCCACCGGCCTGAGACGTAAACCTTCACTTCACTGAAAATTGCTTTGCTTGCCATAACTATCACAAGCTTTGCAAAAGCACGGCAAGAAATCATAACTCAATGTATTCTAGAAAGACAGCAACAACCAATGAAATACAGCAACCATGGTTTCAATTCCTTGGGAATGAACATTTGAAGCGAGGACTATCGGGAGTCGCGCACTCCAGGGCTCATCTGGTGGTAGGTTCGCGGCCCGCGGGCAAGGAGAGAGGGTGAGAAAGAAAACAATGCCAAGCTATCATTCCAAATCACAAGAAACGCGGTGAAACCAATCCTTGCCCTCCTATGAGGAAAGCCATGTTGAGGCCATAAAACCGTAAAACCATTCATCCGATAACCATTTGAACCACTAAACCAGTTAAACCAAACGAGTCAAAACCAAGCAACGCAAAACAAATGGGAACCAAAACATCGAGCAAATAAGTAGCAGCCTCTTTGAGGCCACTCCGCTTGTGGAAACGTACGCCGAGAAACTCGGCTACCGACTCCTGGCGGCCATAAGACTTCTAGGGGGGGTGGGAGGGGGGGGGTCAGACCTTCTAATTGCTCTATCAACTGCATGCTGATTGGCTTGTGGATGTTGACCTTGGTAGAAAGGTGTATCGGAAGCACCTATAATTGGTTCAGGACTTTGGGACGGTGAATGGGTGCAGCTTCTCAAGGATTTTGGAGTCTTGGGCTGGTTAAGAGTGGGGCTGTGGTTTCGCGCGGCCTGCCGACTCGGTTGTTGGTCAGTGTTAGCTAAGAAAGCATCCGGTGGCACACCGTCCATAGGGCTTGTACCAGCAATTCCTTGTGTGCCGTGTCTCGGATTGGTTTGCCGTGGTTGCTTAGGGGGTTTTGGGGGTAGACAACTGACTCACTTGTCATCTGCTGGCAGACACACCAAACAATCCAATTACGTGCAACTTCAAGCCCTGAATCCCTGGAACACAAAGATCCGTACAGGATGAAACTATAGAATTAACCTCCGGTCGACGGGCCTGCCGGCTGTACGGGCTCCTGGGCTGGGGCTTGCTTCGGATTTCTAAGCTTTGGCAGTGGGAGCTCTTGAATCGCTGGCGGGCATCATCAAATGGCTCACTAACTTGGGCCCGCATCGGGGCGTTTGCTTTTGAAGGCTTGGGCTCTGTCTTGAAGCCCCAGAGGTTTCGTTCAGGCTTGGCGCTGTTGGTGGTAGCATCCTGTTTTGTGGACAAACAAGCCTGGCGCATTTGCGGCTTTGGGCCACGATGCCAGCAGATCTGTCGGGCCTTCGGCCTTGGGGTCGCAGCCCAAGTACTGTCCAACCTTATGATGGTTCTGGGTAGGACCGCCACGGATTCAGAAGGAATTACATGAGCCTTGCCTGCACGGCCAGCCCAGATTCCAGGGCCGGCAGCGCCAGTAACACCACAACCCGACTATGCAACAATTAGAGCACAGAGCTTCAGAGCATCAGCGTTTGAAAGCGCTGTTGATCGGTGCGTGCCGGAGCCACAATACCCTACAGAATTCACAAACCATGGTGTGAATCCCAAGGGCAGGGTCCTGGACAAAGGCACGCCGTCCGGGCGCAGGCTTCGCACGGCACCCTCGGCCACTGAAAAGCAAGCTGCATAGGAGGGTTGATACAAACCACTGACTACTTGCAACGCTTCCACCTCTTGAAGAAGTGCGCAGGGTTGGGGACAAAGGGCCGAGGGCTTAGGGTTTAAGTTGAAAACTCCCGGGACAATGATTCAAGTTGGGGGCTAACCAGACTTTAGGGTTAAGGGCTTTAGGTTACACAAAGGATAAGAGACAGGGACGATTGTCACCGAGAGGCCAGCACTCTTGAATGTTGCAACATCTTAACTTCTTCTCAAAAGCTTGACAAAAGAATGTCATTTGTTGAAGGGATGCGTGTATATGCGTGTGACAAGACGACAGCATTGTGTTCAACCCGAAGAGCCGGAGACTTATCCCTCTTGCGTCGTGACAGCACAAAAAAGCAAGAAAAGGACCAGGACCAGGCGGAAGCGGCGGCGGCATGCAGAACACGACGAGAACCGTAGAGGCGGGCGTGCGGGGTGTGCAGGGTGAGCGAGGGAGGGTGTGCGGGGCAGGCGGGTGGGCCATGCGGGGGTGTGCGGGATGTGCGGGGTGAGCGGGGTGTGCGGGTGTGCGAGGTCTGCGAGGTGTGCGAGGTGCATGTGCCCGGTGCATCGGCTGCGCAGGGTGCGGGCGGCTCCGTGGCCGGGCCGTGGCCGGGCCGTGGCCGGGCCGCGGCCAGGCCATGGCCGGGCCGTGGGCGGACTGTTGTCGGACCGGGGGGGGGGGGCGGGGTATAGGCGGGTTTGGGCGGGAGGTGTGCTGGGCATCGAGTCATACTTAGGAGCATTGTCGCGCAAATGCAATGACAGAGCTTAAAGTTTAAAGTAGCAAGGCGGGCCTGGCCCAGCTCTTGCGCTGCTGCGCTGGCGGCAAAGGGATGGAGCGCAGCAGCCTGCCCATTGTGTTCGATGTGGCCACACATTGTAAGGAAGTGTGGCTTCATATTTCATGAAGTTCATGTGCCTCCTGTGTCAAGAAAATCCATGTTCCGACAAGAGCTCAACAATCTTCACCCAGGTTCTAGTTGGAGCACGGTTTTTTGTTGAACGCTGCCAGTCCAAATCCCGACGGTGAACTGCACCCGCCGTTCATGAAGCTCGCCTCCTCTCTTCTGCCGTTAGCGGCAGAAGCTTCCTGATCTATCGGCAGCGGCATCCGTGTGACAACGGTTAGCTATGGCTCCTTACCCAATCCAAGGCACAACAAGCACAGAGGAGGTATGATGTTGCGATGGGAGAAGGGGGTACTTTAGACCGCTTTTCATTGGGCTTGCACTATACGCTCAACCCTCGACCCCATAAACTTTAAGCAGCATGTGATCAGGTGGTCATTGCAACCCACGGAGGCTCGGATCGTTGAAATCACTGAGGACCTTTGTACAGAATCACTTGCAAACCTTCCGCCTCCCAACAGCAAAACTAACAAGGCCTTCCAAACCCTCCAACACCTGGCTGCAAACCAGCAACTTCGAACCCCCAAAAACAAAAAGCACATCGACCTGACTTGATACTTTAATGGGCGAGCAGCAAAGAGGCCCAGCTGGGCTGTGTCCACTGCTTGTGGATCCATGGGAAGCTCCTGGCCGCTTTTGGGAAGGCTGTTTGGGTTGGTTCGGAGATGTTCGGAGATGTTCGGAGAGTCGGGCGTTGGGCAAGACTTTGGGGCTCAAGCGGTGGCTGAACGGTGCCGAGGGGCCGCTGACCCGAACCTGGAAGCCTACATATCCTACATCACGATACCATTTCACTTGAAAGAAACCACAAGCTTTTTAAGCATCCTCAAACACTATTCCAAGTCATGGCCAAACTCACTAGATGCCCAAGAAACGTCCATATAGTTCAGGGACGGTTCTGCCATGCTGCACTGCGGCCTCCTGACCCACCGTCTGGAGGAGGCGGGCATAGGCCAGGTGAAGCCGTTCCTCGTGCTTGGCTGGGGATGTCAAGGACATGAATCCCCCCGTCCCCAAATGTAAAGATCGGCAGGCCCCTCAAAAACAGAAAGTAGATCTCCCGTAGCGCCGCTTTAGGGGAGCTTGGGTCTGTGGGCCAAGAGCTCCAACAGGTCCAAAACGCACCATAACATACGTGTTCAGCCTTGCAAAGCTGGAAACACATCGATGGCTCAAGAACCACGTGCAGCTTTGTCAGTCTTTTGGGCTGCTTTTGCATCAGAGGCGCGGCGATAGACTCCAGCCGGCCGAACGCCACAAGCAACGGCACCGGTGGCGATGTGAAAGGGAGCTGCCGCTCCAAGGCCTCGGAACTCCGAAGCTTTGCCTTTCATATCGTGCAAACCCTAAAGTTCTAAAGAGTGGAAGCTGATTTTGTTTTTTTGGCGGCTTTGTGTTGCGGGGGGGGGCTGCTGATGTGAGGGCAGGGGAGGCATTCCTGCGGGCTTTGCTACTCTAGCATTGGGGCTTCGGGCTGTGGATGTTGAGGACTTTCAGTCTGACGTCGTAGAGTGAAATGTGTTTTGAATGTCAAACCGCAAACTGCAATATTTGGACGTGGCTAGAGGTTGCATATAGTGGCATTGGAAAATTGCAGCCCTGGGCCAAGTAGCATTTGATTTTCGGAGTGAAGCGATGGAAACTTTCAGGTTAACCATCCCACGTTAGGACCTTGTTCGAGGAACCGCCCCTGATCGAATCAACTCAAGTGCCAACGACGCGAAGAAAACAATCTCTGAAGCGAGAAAACAAACGAAAGACGTGTCGATGTCGAGCAGGCATACCCATAGCCGCCTGTGGTACTCGTCTCGCCGTCTACTTGGCGGCAAGGGCCCTAAGAGCCAGCACATTTCGGATTCAACAAGCGTCAAGCAAGGCGGACATCTGTGACAAAAAGAGGTCACATGGGTTTTGAAGGAATGTCAATTGATGGCACGGTTTTTGTAAGCAGCAAGTTTGCAAGGCTCGCGTGCGCCGGGGGAGGGGCGGGAGCCCCCACATTTGCAAACACAATGCTCGCATGATGTTTTTTGCATCGTTCAAAGTTGTGGGTTTTGAAGGATGGCCTAATATTCTCGGAGGCCAGCTTGCGCGGCTCCCAGGTTCAGAGGAAAACGGACCACCGGACCCAAAAAGGGCCAGGACACCAGGCGGCCAAAAACATCGGAGAAAGCTAAGAAAACGATGGAAAAAATCGAGCGCCCCCCCCCCACCACAGATCCGCCTCCAAGCGCTCTGCAACGGCCCTTGCAGGGGCAGCGAAGGCCCTCTCTGTGCCTGAGGCCAGCGCCTGATTCGGTTGCCAAGGCTGGGGTTGTTGAATCAGGGGACATTTCGGAATACATTGGGCTCCGTCGAGATGCTCTTCAAGTCTTCAGGTCATTGGGCTTGCAGAGGCCCTACAGGCTTCGAGTTGTTTTCTCACATTGCCCTCTGCAACAATTCGGCTTACTGTGCTGCTTTCGACTTGAGGCCTTGGTTCTCAGGGAGTTGAGGGCTTCTTGTCGAGCAATTGAAAACAAATGGACTCCAAATGGTCTGCTCGGAAGCGAAAGTCCTCTCTGAGCGCGGGTCCTGCGAGCAGCTCCTCAGTACAATCCTGAGCTCTTAGAACGCACGTCTGAGGCTTAGAGATGAAGTGTGAACCAGGCACAGAATACCCTACAGCTCTATGCAGCTCTATGCAGCTCTATGCAGCTCTAAACCGCCCACATCTGCATCTGAGTCAGTCCATCCGCCTGCGAAAAAACCAGCCAACAAAAAGCTTTAGTTTGGAGGACTGGGACTGCACATTTTACCACCATCCTGCGATTCCAGCCTTAAGCTGCATCATGTTCTTTGCAGCGGGAGTAAGCGCAAGCTTCCCACTTACAAACTGCACATCCCAGCTAACTTCCTAGGACTTGAAGGCCAAATTATGTTGTTCCATGGTTTGTTGGGCCTAGAATTCAACGTGTAAAAGGTCAGAGTTTTGGCTCAAAGTGAGGTCCCGATATCCTGAACCCGACAAGCCTGCATGGCACCCTGCATGGCACCCTGATCCAACTTTCAAGAGATCAAATCACCGCATGTTGCTTGCAACGTAGAGCTGATACGACATCAACAGAGGCGATGATGAATTGCTGATGTCCGTCTAGGGTTTTGCTGGGTTTTTTGGGCCTTGCTAGGGTTAGGCGGCCGGGGCTAGACTCTTCCCCCTCTAGCTTGGCGCTGCAGCTCAGCGGCAGCTGTGACGCTGGTGGCAGGCTAGACCTGACACAGCTTGATGTTTTATTAGATTAGAACATCAAGCATGAGACCTGGCCACAAAGCATTCCCCCTCACTACTGGCTTCGGTGACTCTAGTTCCCACGCTACTCTAATACCGTGCCGCACTCGCACAACAATCGCATGCGCTCTTGTTCTATCCTACGCAAAACCTGCAACCTCTTCACTGCGAGCCTTTGATGCAGCGGGTGGCTGAGCTCTTCACTTTTACGAGAAGATGCAGAGAAGCATGAGGAGCAACAGACCCTGAACCGCTAAATCTTAAACTCCTGCATTCCAAGTACCTAAGCCATGAACACAGCACAGCTACCAGAAGCATTCGCCCATTCCCCCTTATGTCATAAGACTCGAAGTGATTTGCCATGGCATCCAGCTGGCTTTCAGAGGACAGCTACGATTGCTAGGCAAGCCAAATACTAGCAAGGGATCCATTGAAACCTAAATCCGATGCCCAAATCCGATGCCCGGAGCTGCGGTTAAACTTCCGACAAAGGCCCGTTGAAGAGCCGTTTTCAAGGGATGCAAATGGGCGACAGTCGGCTGCCCGCCAACCAATAAGCAACATTCATCAACATTCCTTGACTTTAGGCCATAGAACGCCGCGATTCCCTGCATCACCCAAATAGCCCAAACCCCGTTACACCCCGTGTAGAGCTTGTAAGATTCCCGGCACGGCAAGCCGGTGGGCACTTTGGACCTCAGGTAAGAGCTCGAAGTTTCGGGATTGGTTGCGGCACTCCGGGGAGACTCCGCGGGAACGGCCTTGGGTGTCTTGCATACGAGAACAGCCCCTACTTTCAAACCCAAGCGGCCACGAGCGGCAAGGCCACCTGGGCTTCCCTTGAGCCGTGGACGGCCGCCTGCGTTGGGCAATGGTTGGGCGTTTATTGGGGGTTCCAAAGAGACTCACCCCTCGGTGTGCCCGAGCATCTGTCCGAGAGTAGTGGCAAAATGTTCAAGACATCGCAAATCCTTCCGCAACCGCAGGTGGAGCAAATCGGTGAGGTTCCACAAAACCCGAGAGACCTATGGCGGCGGAAGATGGAAGTGTCTAAATCTGACTCATGTACAAAATTGCACAAGTCATGCAATCAGACTTACACAGCATCCTGGCTACGTCAGCATGCCAAACGTAACATAACCCTGATTCACACCCAACTAGAGGATTAATCTTTTGGGGACTACGGTGTAAGTTGCATCGGGATCTGCAATCTGCTCTGAGATGTAAAGACCCTGGGGCAGCTGCCGTCCAGGGTTTCTGCGTTGGCGATTGACAGGGGGCGTGCATGGGTCTCGTGTTGCAAGGATCGAAGCTGCTTCCATGCCTTCGCATCTGGACAAGGAAACAACTGAAAAGGCGCCTGAGCCCTGAACCTCAAAATCCCTGAAACAACTTGCTGAGCTGCCTCAAATCCGGCTCAGTCAAACAATTTCATAACAACGAGGGCGTTGTGTGCATGAGGAGTACTACAGACCCCAAGCCCTGAAGCCTGAACCTCGAAACCTCTTGCGTTTAGCAACGCAGTCAACCTCGCGGAGCCAGAGTGCACAAAGAGCCAACGCCTGCCGCTCAAGAGGCAGGACCAGGATTTGAGGGCTTGGGGTTGAAAATTCATCGGTGTCGTTTAGAGCTGTCAATAAAGCTGTCGGTGGGCATTGTTCTCATATAATGCGACCAGAATTGGCTATTGTTTCTTTGTTGCTTTCTCGGTATGAATCTTGTTTTTTCTTAAAACGTTTATCACTGTGTCCTATATACTGTTCTCTACATTCCTTCTTCCTCGTCAATACAGCGTTGCTATTATCTTGAAAACTACCTCTCTAGGTTCTTCTCGGCGTTTATCTCTGTATCTTCACGCCTTGGTTTCAGAGTCTCTGTTCTCCGTCAGGTCCACAGTTTTCTAGAGCTCAGGACTTTTCATATTTTGAGCCTTGCCTAGTAGCAGTTCAAAATTATGTTTTCCACATTATATTACGGGGAATAATCTTCGAAATGCGTTTTGTTGCCCTGTGTTGGTTCAGGAATCAGAACTCGGTAAATCGAAATACCAGCCCTGAAACCGAACCCCACAAAATCAAAAAAAGCCCGCTAACCCTTGAAACCACTCAGCGGCAATTCATATAGCCCCTCGGCAGTTCAAAAACCGCCTGTCGAAAACACCCTTTGAAGATAGGTCAAAGACCTACACACCACCACTCCGTAAATCATAAACCAAGCTCTAAAAACAGAGACCCACTAAGCCGTATCTTGTATATTTAATTCTGAGTCTGAGTGTTACTGTACATCTCCGCTGTTGCATGCATCAAGTGAGGTGCTAATGGAGAATTCCCCAGACTGTGTGCCAACACACACAAGGGGTTCTGACATCCAGAGTAGTAAAACGGCGTTAGATTGCCGACCCCGAGTTGCTTGTGCCTCGGAACATCACAAATTCCTTGCTTTTGGCTTCGTGGGTTGCTGAATCGCACACTTTGGCCCCCGTGAGCAAATCCCGACGTGGCAGGTGCATAGAATCCTGCATTTGGGGCCATTGGAGGGGTGCGCTGCCTGCAGGCAGACTCAGTGTTGTTCGCTGCGTGCAGCCAGACTCAGTGGATCTGCAATTCGCGATGTTGGCATCCCGCACTCCCGCCTAGGCCGCTGTGCGCATCGACGTCGCCATCCTCATAACTGTCGTCGCTTTTGGAACTCTGGTTTCGTGATATGCGAAACGGCTGTTGCTTTTGGACGTCTGGGTTCGCAAAATGCGAAACTGTCGTTGCCTTTGGACGTCGGGGTTCGATCCGGGGCGTTGGTGCCTCGTAGTACGCCGGAGCTCCAGTGGCATCAAAGAAATCTTTCTTTCGTTGACCGTGAAACCCAGAGCGTTCTTTGTGTCCCTTGGTGGTCTCTCACTGTTTGGGGCCGACTAATCAGTAGGTTTGTCGTGCAATTCTTCGGGTCTTCTAAATCCACGGCCAGAATGTAGACTTCGTCACCAACGTCATACTTGAACACGGTTTGTTCTCTATCATTCTCCGCGTCATACTTGATGTCTTTGTCTGGCAATTTAGATTCTCAGCATCTAAATAGTTCATGCATTTGTGGCCTTGAGGCTACTAATGATTTATCCGGCGCGTCCCTTGCTCGGTTCAGGCCTGTGCTGCCACGTCCGTTTCGGCGAGCTCAGCGTAGGCCAGGGCCAAACCTTAGTACTCCGAAGTATGTGGTATCCATGCAATCCACTTGCCAGCTGATGCATGCACAGTAGCTATGTATACAAGGTTCATTTTGCAAACAGACTTCGCGGTCAAGGGAACGACTTCAAGCCCCTGCAGCTCTACAGCTGCCTCGCACAGCCAGCCTTCATTAGACGCCTTCACATAGAGTAATTCCAACCCTCACACTGTAAGGTTTAGGCCCTTGAGAGGTCAAAAGATCTAGGCTCTTGAGGCTGGGCCCCTGACTGATTGAGGGGTCAAAGGATCTACTGTAGCTCTTGAAGCTAAAGCTAAGACTAAGCGACTCTGCCTTTGCTGACTGACACATCAAGCTCCATCAAGCCCTGGGAGTGACGTGACTTGAGGCGACTTAAAGTGACTGAAGCCTAAACCCGAAACTTCGAACCGCAAAGGCCAGCCCTCAACCATCCGCGAATCCCGCGCCATGAAACAACCTTAACGGCCATCCCCAAAAGCCTAATCTCAAAAAAAAAACTCCCGGCCTGTTGGAACTGGGATGAACGAGGACTCCCCAGTTTGAGATTCAGTGCCAAACTCGTTCTTGTCAAGCCCAACAACTCAAGAATCCGTCAAGCCAAGGGATGCCAAGCAACTCAAAGGCTCGAAGGGCTCGCCGTTGGCGAAGCGGCGCAGGGCCTGTTGCGCTAGAAAAAGGGCCTTCGTCATTATTCTTTTCTGGTTTTTTCTGGGGACATCTGGGGACGATGTTGGTGAGGCTTGGAGTCTTTAAGTTTCTGTGGGTTCTTGTGGATTCGCAATGGACGCAGTGGACTGTTGGCTTCGGGATTCTGACAAGCAAATGTGTGTGCAGGATGCCCAACTTGCCAAGCCATCAAGCATTGCCAGCTAGAGAGAGAGAGAGAGAGAGAGAGAGAGAGACAGAGAGACAGAGAGAGAGAGAGAAAGCGAGAGAGAGAGAGAGAGAGAAAAAAAAAAAGACACGAGACAGAGAGAGACAGACAGACAGACAGAGACTGAGCGCCAGATGAGACTTGCATAGCGCTTGACAGACACAGTGATTCTCAGAGGGAAGAGGGAGAGGCAGGAGCAGAGTGACATAGGAAAGCGCCCAGGGAGCAAGAGAGCCAGGGAGAGCGCAACAAGATCACTCGAGTTTGGTATATCCGCTCAAGGACGCCTCGCGCTCATGATGAAAAGCTGGCGTCAGCTCCTGGATTCCGAAGGGCTTGGAGTTCGAGTCGAGCATATACCGCTTTTTTGATCAAGATTCAGGGCTTGTCAAAAGTTTGGAGCCTTGCTAGAGTTCCACAACTCAACCTCAAGACAAGATCGAAGCCTCGTGCAGAGCCTCACGGAACGAACTGGCGCGAGAGCAGCAACAACAGCACGAGCAAGAGAATTGAGTGGATCTGCGTTGAAGGCGTTGCTAAGCGGCACAACGGCTGCTGCACAGTGGCCGCAACAGGAATACCCAGACTTTGCAGACCTACTGCAGCGGCACTGGTTCCAAGCCCTGAACACACTAACCCAAGCCATAAAGGGTCCACTTGTATGAGGGCACCGAGAGCATAAAATCAAAACAGCCTGTGGCAGTCAACAACGGTGCTTGCTGAACTTTCGCTGGAGGAGGCAGCATTACAAGAGGGACCCCAACAATAATAAATGTAATCCTAGAATACTCATATCAATAACAAGAACAGTAGTAGCAGTAGTAGCAGTAGTAGTAGTCGTAGTAGTAGTAGTAGTAGTAGTAGTAGTAGTAGTAGTAGTAGTAGTAATAGTAGTAATAAAACAAGAGTTTCCCCCACTCCTCTTACCAAACCCTCAGTCCTGCTGGGTTGAATCGAGAGCGGCTGCATACGTTGGCAAGGGGCTGCTGCCAGGACAGCGCCTTCTTCCAGGGCAGAGGACTCATCCGACAAGGTCCTCTCCCACGTTTTGAACCCCTCTTTTAGGTTCATGAATTAATCTTGCAAAGATCTCGCAGAAGGCACGTTGAAGGCAATCCCCATATCTGGATTTAGGTTTCGCGCAGTCCAGAGGGGTGGAGAGCTTCGTGTGGATGAGGTTTGTCATGTCAGTCTATGAACTTGCGAAAGTGACCAGCTTTTGCATTGCCAAGGTGAGAATGCCGTGCGGTTCACAAAGTTTTAGGCTCGATGCCGAAGGCCTCAGCCTGAACTTCTCGAAATTAGCTCCACTCCTTTCAACGAAATCAAACGCCGGAAGCCCCCAACCCCTCAAACTTGGTTCTCCCTACCTGTAAGATCCTTTGCGTGTAATTTTACATTTTACATTTTTTAATTTTTTACACGTTTTTGACGTGTAAATCTATCCCTGGAAATTACACGTTTTTGTGTAAATTTGGGTGTGTAAATTACACGTCAAAACGTGTAATTTATACACCCATGTTCTCCGAATTACACTCTGTTTCGGTACATTTGAAGCCGAGACTACTGGCACACAATTCCGTTTTGTTTGTGTATCCATGTGTTTCCCAATGCCATTTGGACGAACACACACAATATATTTGAAAAAAAATGATTTTCCGAGTTACAGATGTGACTGTGGGAACAGATTTCCCTCATTTTAATGTTGTTTCGGCCGAAACAACAACAGTCACAGATAACAGCCATAACGAAAACACCAAAAAAACCTGAGCCCAAAACCGAAAACCCTAAGCACAAAACCAAAAAAAACAAAGCCCTGAATCCAAAACCCAGCCACAAACCCCAAATTCTGAGCCCGAAACGTTGAATTTGTGGTAAAGTTGTTTTGTTTTTCAACACAAACCATTAACTTTTGCAACACAATTCTAGAATTTTGCAAAAAAAATGTGCTTTTCAGCAAAGTTTTTTGATGTTTTACAAAAAAACTTTCGATTTGGTTTGGTAAAGGTGTGCGATTTGTTGACAAAAAGCTTTTTTGCTAAAAAATATCTAAGTTTTCCAGAAAAAATCGTAACCAAAAAACATCTAGCTTTTTGAAAAAAGTCTTGATTGCTTCCAAAGCTCTTAATGTTTTGTAAAGAATCTAAACTCCCAACCCACAAACCTAAGCCCCAAATCAAAAACCCTAAGCCCCAGCCCCAAGCCCTAAGCCCGAAACCCAAAACACCATAAGCCCCAAACCCCAAACCCTGAGCCCCCAACCCATAACCCTAAGCCCGAAGCCCCAAAAACCTATCAGCCCAAGCCTCAAAACCCCAAGCCCAAAGCCCCAATCCTAAACCATGCGCCCGAAACCCTGGTTTTGAGCTTAGGGTTTTGTGGGGTTTAGGGCTTAGGGTGTTGGGTTTAGGGCTAAGGGTTTTGTCATGGCTTAGGGTTTTGGGTTTCGGGCTTAGGGTTTTGGTGTTTAGGGCTTAGGGTTTTGTGTTTGGGCTTAGGCTTTTGGGGTTTGGGTCTAGTGTTTTTGGGTTTGGGGTTTAGTGTTTTTGGGTTTGGGGCTTAAGTTTTTGGGATTGGGGCAGGGTTTTGGGTTTGGGGCTTAGGGTTTTGGTTTCGGGCTTAGGGTTTTTGGGGTTTAGGGCTTTGGGTTTTTGGGCTTGAGGTCTCAGGGTTTTGGTGTTTCGGGCTTAGGGCTTTGTGTTTGGGCTTAGGGTTTTGGGGTTTGGGTCTAGTGTTTTGGGTTTGGGGCTTCGGGCTTTTGGGTTTGGAGCTTAGGGCTTTGGGTTTGGGGCTTAGGGTTTTTGGGTTTGGGGCTTAGTGTTTTGGGTTGGGGCTTAGGGTTTTTGGGTTTGGGGGTTAAGGTTTTGGGTTTGGGGCTCAGGGTTTTGGGTTTCAGGCTTGGGTTAGGGTTTTGGGGTTTTGGGCTTAGGTTTTTTGGTGCTTGGGCTTGGGGTTTGGGTTTCGGGTAGAAACTTTTTTTGGTTTGCGGACTTAGGGCTTGGGGCTTGGGGCTTAGCGTTTTGGTTTCGGGCTTAGGGTTTTTGGGTTTGGGGCTTACGGCTTTGGGATTGGGGCTTAGAGCTTTCGGGCTTTAGGGCTCAGGGTTTTGGTGTTTAGGGCTTAGGGTTCTGTGTTTGGGCTTAGGGTTTTGGGGTTTGGGTCTAGTGTTTTGGGTTTGGGGCTTAGGGTTTTTGGGTTTGGGGCTTAGTGTTTTGGGTTTGGGGCTTAAGTTTTTGAGATTGGGGCAGGGTTTTGGGTTTGGGGCTTAAGGTTTTGGTTTCGGGCTTAGGGTTTTTTGGGTTTAGGGCTTTGGGTTTTTGGGCTTGAGGTCTCAGGGTTTTGGTGTTTCGGGCTTAGGGCTTTGTGTTTGGGCTTAGGGTTTTGGGGTTTGGGTCTAGTGTTTTGGGTTTGGGGCTTAGGGCTTTTGGGTTTGGGGCTTAGTGTTTTGGGTTGGGGCTTAGGGTTTTTGGGCTTGGGGGTTAGGGTTTTGGGTTTGGGGCTCAGGGTTTTGGGTTTCAGGCTTGGGATTTGGGCTTTGGGGCAGGGTTTTGGGTTCTGGGCTTTGGGTTTTTGGGTTTAGCGCTTAGGGTTTTGGGTTGTGGGCTTAGGTTTTTTGGTGTTTGGGCTTGGGGTTTGGGTTTCGGGTAGAAACTTTTTTTGGTTTGCGGACTTAGGGCTTGGGGCTTGGGGCTTAGCGTTTTGGTTTCGGGCTTAGGGTTTTTGGGTTTGGGGCTTACGGCTTTGGGATTGGGGCTTAGAGCTTTCGGGCTTTAGGGCTCAGGGTTTTGGTGTTTAGGGCTTAGGGTTCTGTGTTTGGGCTTAGGGTTTTGGGGTTTGGGTCTAGTGTTTTGGGTTTGGGGCTTAGGGTTTTTGGGTTTGGGGCTTAGTGTTTTGGGTTTGGGGCTTACGGTTTTGAGTTTAGGGCTAAGGGTTTTTTAGGGCGTAAGGTTTTTTTGGGTTTCGGGCTTAGGATTTGGGTTTTGGGGCTGGGTTTTGGATGGTTTTGGGTTCAGGACGTTGGGGTTTTGGGTTTGGTGCTGAAGGTTTTGTGTCTTGGGCTTAGGTTTTTTGGTGTTTGGGCTTGGGGTTTGGGTTTCGGGTATAGAAAAAAGGTTTTTGTTGCTTGGGGACTGGGTTTGGGATTATGGTTTTTTGCAAAAAACAAACAATTTCATGAAAGAATCTTTAAATCCTGCGAAAAGTGTATACAAAGTTGGTTGCAAGTGATGGGTCTTTATCTCAAAAAATTGAGGTTAGGCTGAAAAACGGTGGATTTTTGTGTAAATTGTTAGGTGTTTTGTCCTCAAAACCTGTTATTTTCTGAAAATCTGTGAGTTTTTTTTTGCAAAAACTATACACAAATCAACCGAAAATATAATTTTTTCTGTAAATTCCATTGTATTTCAAGCAAAAAATATTTAAAAACAATACAAAAATCAACGAAAAATATACAATTTTACGCAATTTTGATTGAATGTTGCTTACACTTTTGCCAAAAGCGCATACACTTTTGCCAAAAGTGCATACACTTTTGCCAAAAGTGCATACACTTTTGCCAAAAGTGCATACACTTTTGCCAAAAGTGCATACACTTTTGCCAAAAGTGCATACACTTTTGCCAAAAGTGCATACACTTTTGCCAAAAGCGCATACACTTTTGCCAAAAGTGCATACACTTTTGCCAAAAGTGTATACACTTTCAAAAGTGTATGCACTTTTGGCAAAAGTGTAGGCACTTTTGGCAAAAAGTGTATGCACTTTTTGGCAAAAGTGTATGCACTTTTGGCAAAAGTGTATGCACTTTTGGCAAAAGTGTATGCACTTTTGGCAAAAGTGTAAGCAAAATTCAATCAAAATTGCGTAAAATTGTATATTTTTCGTTGATTTTTGTGTCGTTTTTAATATTTTTTGCTTGAAATACAATGGAATTTACAGAAAAAATTACATTTTCGGTTGATTTGTGTATAGTTTTTGCAAAAAAACTCACAGATTTTCAGAAAATAACAGGTTTTTGGGACAAAACACCTAACAGTTTACACAAAAACCCACCGTTTCTCAGCTAAACCTCATTTTTTTTGATAAAAACCCATCACTTGCAACCAACTTTGTATACACTTTTCGCAGATTTTTAAAGATTTTTTTCATGGAATTGTTTGTTTTTTGCAAAAAAAAAAAACATAATCCCAAACCCAGTCCCCAAGCAACAAAAACCTTTTTTCTATACCCGAAACCCAAACCCCAAGCCCAAACACCAAAAAACCTAAGCCCAAGACACAAAACCTTCAGCACCAAACCCAAAACCCCAACGTCCTGAACCCAAAACCATCCAAAACCCAGCCCCAAAACCCAAATCCTAAGCCCGAAACCCAAAAAAACCTTACGCCCTAAGCCCCAAAACCCTTAGCCCTAAACTCAAAACCCTAAGCCCCAAACCCAAAACACTAAGCCCCAAACCCAAAAACCCTAAGCCCCAAACCCCCCAAAACACTAGACCCAAACCCCAAAACCCTAAGCACCAAAACCCTGAGCCCTAAAGCCCGAAAGCTCTAAGCCCCAATCCCAAAGCCGTAAGCCCCAAACCCAAAAACCCTAAGCCAAAACGCTAAGCCCCAAACCCCAAGCCCTAAGGCCCTAAGCCCCCAAACAAAAAGAAAAGTTTCTACCCGAAACCCAAACCCCAAGCCCAAGCACCAAAAAACCTAAGCCCAAAACCCCAAAACCCTAAGCGCTAAACCAATACCCGAAGCCCAGAACCCAAAACCCTGCCCCAAAACCCAAATCCCAAGCCTGAAACCCAAAACCCTGAGCCCCAAACCCAAAACCTTAACCCCCAAGCCCGAAAACCCTAAGCCCCAACCCAAAACACGAAGCCCCAAACCCAAAAACCCTAAGCCCCAAACCCAAAGCCCTAAGCCCCAAACCCAAAAGCCCTAAGCCCCAAACCCAAAACACTAGACCCAAACCCCAAAACCCTAAGCCCAAACACAAACCCGAAACACCA